TGCCGTCACATTCTATGTTTATGTTTCTAAGTCTGTGCTCGACTTCCTGCAGATGGTGCTGGATGAGCTCCTGCGGGAGGTAGCTTTGGGGTGGTTCGCGGGGTCAGTTGAGGCCCCGTGGTTCTTATCTGCCGTCACATTCTATGTTTCTATCATTTAAATATACAAAGGGAATCAACACAGTAAAGGAGGAGACTATATTTAAAAGAAGAAAAACTACCACAACAAGAGGACATAGTCTTAAATTAGAGGGACAAAGGTTTAAAAATAATATCAGGAAGTATTACTTTACTGAGAGGGTAGTGGATGCATGGAATAGCCTTCCAGCTGAAGTGGTAGAGGTTACCACAGTAAAGGAGTTTAAGCATGCGTGGGATAGGCATAAGGCTATCCTAACTATAAGATAAGGCTAGGGACTAATGAAAGTATTTAGAAAATTGGGCAGACTAGATGGGCCGAATGGTTCCTATCTGCCGTCACATTCTATGTTTCTAAGTTGCAGGTCCCCCTTGGGCCTGGTGCCCAAGTAGGAGGCAGGGGATTTTCGTCTGATTCATCGTTTGCCCTACCCTCAAGGGGTTTCGGTGAAAGATGTCAGGCGTCCTAGGCATCCTTCGATTCTGCGGTACACATGGTCGGGGCGGTGGGCCCCCGGGCTTTGCTAACGAAGGCCGACGTTGGAGCCGCGTTTCACTTGTTGCCAGTTCATATGGATTGTCATCAACTCCTGGGTGGTGGGTTTGTGGTCGGTGTTATGTGGATACGTGCTTCCCGATGTGTTGTTCATGTCCTGCTTTTACGTAGTGTGTCAGCACTTTCCTGGAGTGGGTGGTGTGGCAGGAGGCAAGGATTGGCTCGTGCGGCAGGAAGCAAGGATTGGCTCGTTGCTGCGTTACCTTGATGTCTTTTGTGTGTGGGCCTTCGCTGACTCTTGCTCAACTCGGCGGAGCTTTAGGGTCCTCTTAGAGCACGATAAGACAGTAGGGCACGGTGACGTGCCTCAGCTCCTTGGGTATCAAAATTGACTCTGTGGCCATGGAGTGCTGGCCGCCATGGGATAAAGTTGACTAGATGGGCCGAATGTGATGGCCAGGGGTCTGAGGAGGATGCAGCTGTGCAAGTTGTAGTCCCTGTTAGGGAGGTTGACCTTCCACTGCCGGATCAGGCACATGTCCCGCAGGTGCCTGGTTGTCGCTACTACTAGGACTTTGGCATTTTATCCGGCTCTGGAGGTCTGGGTTTCCTTCCTGACCGAGGATAGACCGGGAGCTACAGGACAGTCGGTTGTTATTAACCGTGCCAACCTCGGGGTTGTCCAGGCAATTAGCCAGCTCTCGGCCCCCCTTTTGTCTTTTGGTACTTCCCCTGCTCCAGCGCCTGGTGCTCCAGTGCCCGTGTCTTCATGTGTCATATAGGTCCGGTTCCTCTTGGGCCAAGGTACTCCAGGGTATGGGTGGAATGGCAGGAGCGGGAGTCAGAGGTGGGTGTATTTGCAGGTTCGCCTGCTCATTACAAGGTCTGTTGTGACTGCTGAAGTGTTGGGTTTCGGCGGATATGTCGCTCTCCGGGGTGTCCTTGCGCGTGTCCAGTTTAGTTTTCTGGTTAAGTCCCAGGGTTGGGTGGCGGTCACCACAGAGTTTCTGGTATGGCATGCGGTGTAGGGCCTGTGCAGGGGTCGATTTCTGTGGATCCAAAGAGGACGGTTTTGGGGGCCCTATGGGCACAATTGTGCCAGGTGCTCCCAGAGTTATGCCTCGCCGTTTCTTAATTTCTTTGGGGCCATGAGGATTGTGGTATTGGTGGGTCCAAACTGGTCAGCCGGTAGGGGAGGATTCTGCTTGCGGATGTCCGGGATGGTCAGGACCTGGTGTCCTTCAAGACTCATCCATACAAGACCGACATCCTTTGCAAAGGCAGGTGGGTCCCGCTGGCAGCGGTCCCAGGATTGGACGCCTGTCTGGTCTGGGCACTCAGGGAGTCCGCGGTACGGCCGTACCTGGCTGGCCCGATCATGGTATACGAGGAGGAGAACTTTGTTTGGCGGTCATTCTTTTTGCATTGGCGCTGTGACGGAGGCCTCTCGGCTGGGTATGCTGAATTGGGATGTGTGGAGGATAGGAAGGTGGGACTCTAGGAGATTTGTTCCGGTGTGTGGGACGCTGGTTTGCTCCGTTGATTGTTTTTTTCCTTCTCAGGGCAGATGATTGAGCACTCGACGGTGGAGGTTCGGTGGTTCAGCGCCGAGGGGACATAAAGTGGGTCTGGCTCCTCCCGGAAGTGTTCAGGTTCTCTTGCTTGTGGGGGAGGGGTGTCATTGGTTCTGGTCATTCCCCCTGGGGGGGGGGTACTGACCTGGGGACGGTGCCACTCAGATACTTGGTGGACATAGGGAAGCAGGACTTGTCCCAGATCCTTATGTCATTTCCGGGGTTTTTTGCATGGTGTGGTCGGAGGTTGTGGTGAGGAACTATTGGAGGCAAGCACACATCTGGAGTTCGTTGGAGCGCTGCCGCGAAGGGTTCAACCGTTCGGTTTCACGGTTCATTATAGGGGTTTGGGGGATGCCCATTTCATCAGGTTTTGAGAAGGAGGCAGCAGATTTGTTGCGGCCGGATGGGGTTCATTTGACTGAGGTCGGGCTTGACCGTTTTAATCTGGCCATTCGAGAGACGGTGGAACAGCCCATGGTTGGTTTGTTTAGGGTCCCCCTCTTATTTTAGGCTTAACCCCTTAAGGACGGAGCCAAATGTACACGTTGTGAACAAAACAAAATGTAAACAAAACCTGGCATTTGCGCTACATGTCTGTCCAACCGTAATTCACCTCTTTCATAGTAAATGCACCCACCCTTATTATATATCATTTTATTCAGGGGAAACAGGGCTTTCATTTAATATCAAATATTTAGCTATGAAACATAATTTAATATGAAAAAAATGGGAGAAAATACGATTTTGTTTGATTTTTTTAGTTCTACATGACATTTTAACGGTCCATGTCATAATACTGTTTGCTTTTACTGCAATAAAATACACATATTTGTATTCAGTAAAGTTTCACATGTAAGACAGTACCTCCTATGTACAGGTTTTATGGCGTTTTGGGAAGTTACAGGGTCAAATATAGCACGTTACATTTGAAATTGAAATTCGCCAGATTGGTTACGTTGCCTTTGAGACTGTATAGTAGCCCGGGAATGGAATTTACACCCATAATGGCATACCATTTGCAATAGTAGACAACCCAAGGTATTGCAAATGGGGTATGTCCAGTCTTTTTTAGTAGCCATTTGGCCTTTCCGCCCGTCCAAAATAATCAGCTAACTGGGTTGGATGGCTTGTCCATTTCCCAACATAAACATAAACATAAACAGCCTTACTGCTTCAGGGTTTTCAGCTCTCTGTTTCCACTCACAGAAACCAAACACAATCTCCCCTCTTCCTTGGCAGGGGAGTACTTTATAGCACTGGTAATTGAGAATCCTTTTCAGGTGAGTTAGATTAGGATTCAAACTCCAGAACTGGACTTCTCACCAAGCAACTTCCAAAATGTGGAGTGGAGCACTGGCCCACCCTACTCTCCAGGTGCTCCACCCCAGGGCCCAAATATACACATATTTAAAGTGCAACATTCATTAGAACATAACACATTTCCCTGGGGCTAATTACACAAAGTAAGAACCTTGCAAAATCTGGGGAGGTATATAGGTTCCTTCCAGCACAATTCCTTGCTTTCTGTCACAATATATATATATACAGGGAGTGCAGAATTATTAGGCAAGTTGTATTTTTGAGGATTAATTTTATTATTGAACAACAACCATGTTCTCAATAAACCCAAAAAACTCATTAATATCAAAGCTGAATATTTTTGGAAGTAGTTTTTAGTTTGTTTTTAGTTATAGCTATGTTAGGGGGATATCTGTGTGTGCAGGTGACTATTACTGTGCATAATTATTAGGCAACTTAACAAAAAACAAATATATACCCATTTCAATTATTTATTATTACCAGTGAAACCAATATAACATCTCAACATTCACAAATATACATTTCTGACATTCAAAAACAAAACAAAAACAAATCAGTGACCAATATAGCCACCTTTCTTTGCAAGGACACTCAAAAGCCTGCCATCCATGGATTCTGTCAGTGTTTTGATCTGTTCACCATCAACATTGCGTGCAGCAGCAACCACAGCCTCCCAGACACTGTTCAGAGAGGTGTACTGTTTTCCTCCTTGTAAATCTCACATTTGATGATGGACCACAGGTTCTCAATGGGGTTCAGATCAGGTGAACAAGGAGGCCATGTCATTAGATTTTCTTCTTTTATACCCTTTCTTGCCAGCCACGCTGTGGAGTACTTGGACGCGTGTGATGGAGCATTGTCCTGCATGAAAATCATGTTTTTCTTGAAGGATGCAGACTTCTTCCTGTACCACTGCTTGAAGAAGGTGTCTTCCAGGAACTGGCAGTAGGACTGGGAGTTGAGCTTGACTCCATCCTCAACCCGAAAAGGCCCCACAAGCTCATCTTTGATGATACCAGCCCAAACCAGTACTCCACCTCCACCTTGCTGGCGTCTGAGTCGGACTGGAGCTCTCTGCCCTTTACCAATCCAGCCACGGGCCCATCCATCTGGCCCATCAAGACTCACTCTCATTTCATCAGTCCATAAAACCTTAGAAAAATCAGTCTTGAGATATTTCTTGGCCCAGTCTTGACGTTTCAGCCTGTGTGTCTTGTTCAGTGGTGGTCGTCTTTCAGCCTTTCTTACCTTGGCCATGTCTCTGAGTATTGCACACCTTGTGCTTTTGGGCACTCCAGTGATGTTGCACTCTGCAAGATATCTCACTATTTTTGACTTTTCTGAGCCTGTCAAGTCCTTCTTTTGACCCATTTTGCCAAAGGAAAGGAAGTTGCCTAATAATTATGCACACCTGATATAGGGTGTTGATGTCATTAGACCACACCCCTTCTCATTACAGAGATGCACATCACCTAATATGCTTAATTGGTAGTAGGCTTTCGAGCCTATACAGCTTGGAGTAAGACAACATGCATAAAGAGGATGATGTGGTCAAAATACTCATTTGCCTAATAATTCTGCACTCCCTGTGTATATATATATATATATATATATAAAACAGTGTTGGCTACCTCCTCCTCCTCCACCGCTGCTTCCACCTACACCGCCATGGTCACCGCCTCCTCAACCTATGGTTCACTTAGTATAAACTATGTACACTGTAGCAGAGGCTTGTGAAGGCCTTTTCTCCATGCATCAGGAGTTGAGCTCAGTTTGAACAATGAAAGAGAATACCCTGCACTCCAACCCTCTCTCAAATGGATAATTCTGTTGATCCTCCTGACAGCCATGCTTTAGATTTTGATTTATGTTCTTCCAAAGCTAAAATCAAAGATTCTATCTAGTGCTATTTTATGGCTCAGCTGTATTTTTTATTTTTATGTTATTTTAAGTGCTTTCCCTATCCACATTTGTTTGCAGGGCACTTGTCCTACTCTTACCCCCATTTTACTTCCTTTTGCATCTCTCTAGCCCTTTCCAGGAGTTTTTTAGAGGCATTTTTGTGGCCAAAAGTTTGGGTCCTCATTGACTTCAATGGGGTTTGGGTTCGGGGTCAAGTTCTGGGTCAAGTTCGAGCCCGAACCCGGACGTTTTTTCAAAGTTCGCCGAACCCGCTGGACCCGAACACCAGGTGTCAGCTCAACTCTACAAATGATGTAATTTTATGGCAGTATATCGATGACCTACTCCTATGTTGCGATAATATGGAATCTTGTATTGTAAACACTCTTTCCTTGCTGAAATTCTTGGACAAAGCAGGCTGCAAAGCGACAAATGCTAAACTGCAAGCATGTGTAGAGAAAGTTATTTTTCTAGGACATTGCATTTCCCATGGCATAAAACATCTCATGGAAAGTAGAAAGACTGCCTTTCAAAATATTAACCCCCCGCCGCAGCCTAGCCCAGCTGTGTACATTTCTAGTTTAATTTCTTACTACCGTCCTGGGCTACATTCTGTAGCAATCTACGTGCAACCACTGTATGATTGTCTTGCCAACGAAAACAAACCATTTAAATTAACCCATATGGCAGAAAATGCCTTCTGTACCCTTAAATTACTGGTAACGTCAGCTCCGGCACTGGGTTTCCCAGATTACAGAAAGAATTTTAACCTGTTCTGTACTGAGCAATCAGGTTATGCTACATCTGTCCTTACACAGGACCATGGTGGTAAATAGAGACCAATAGCATACTACTCCACCAGATTGGACCCTGTTGCCAGGACTGCCCCCTCATGTGTTAGGGCAGTGGGGGCTGTTACTGCCCTCCTGGACAAAGCCACTGATATTGTTTTAGATAATCCGGTGACCATATACTAACCGCATGACATTAACAGCATACTGTCACAAGTTCAACCAAAACACATACATACTGCAAGGCATCTCATAATGCAATGTGCCTTGCTTATGCCACCAAATGTTACTCTGAAAAGGTGTATGGTGTTAAATCCATCTACATTACTTCCCCTGGATTTAAAAGAGGGGAGTGGGGATAGTGGGAATACTTGTACTTCTGATCTTTTTGTAAATTCCCTTTCACCAGATGAGTTAGCTGACGCCCAGATACCCCATGATTGTGCAGCACTAATGGCACAAGAAACAGCAGGTTTTTTTTAGCATGTAATTGATTCTCCATTATCTAATGCAGATTTTGAGTTTTTTGTAGATGGTTCCAGATATACTGATAAAAATGGTAATTTCCACACTGGATATGCTGTAGTCCCTGCACATGAGGTAATAAAAGCTGAACCACTCGCTCCTCACTGCTCTGCACAGGAGGCAGAGCTGAAGACACTCGCTGAAGCGTGTAAAATGGCTTCTGGTAAGACTGCTAATATTTATACAGACTCTAGCTATGCTTTTGGTATAGCCCATGATTTTGGCCCTATATGGCAGGCTCGTGATTTTCTCACCTCAGCAGGAACTCCAATCAAGAACTCTGAAGCTGTGAGTGCACTTATGGACGCTATCCTGCTACCCACTCAAGAAGGCATCATCAAGGTGGCAGCTCACGTGAAGATCACAGATTAAATTACAAGAGGAAACCACAAAGCAGACGAAGCTGCCAAGCAAGCAGCAATTCAGGTTCATCCCTCTACAGGTAATACCTTTCTACAAGTTGTTCTTACAGATGACGCCCTTGACTACAATATACTGTTGAGCTCACAAAGACAGGCAAACAAGGAAGAACATTACCTCTGGAGGAAACAAGATGCAGAACCTGATGATGACAGAATGTGGAGGAAAGGTAAAAGACTGTGTTTGCCACGAGTGTTGTACCTCATGATGGCCCAGATTGCCCATGGACCTACACATCTATCCAAGATGCACATGAACCGCATAGTAAACATCCATTGGGTAGCACCCGGATTTACTGTTGAGCAGCTAAACACACGCAAGCTTGCATGATTTGTGCTAGAAACAATCAAGGACAGGCTGTAAAAACACCAAGTAAGCACACACCAAGACCACTTTACCCGCTTCAAAGACTGCAGATAGACTATATTCAACTGCCTAAGGTAGGAGTGTATGAATATGTGTTGGTGTGCATTGATCTCTTTTCAGGTTGGCCTGAGGCCTACCCAGTGTCAAAAGCCACAATGAAGGTCACAGCAAGTAAGCTTCTGAAGGAATTGGTATGTAGATATGGAGTACCTAAAGTGATTGAAAACAGAGGTAGCCATTTCACTGGGGAAATAATGCAAGAAATTATGAAAGCCTTAGGGATCAGTCAGGCGTTCCACACCCCCTATCACCTCCAGAGTAGTGGGACAGTATAAAGGGCAAATGGCACCTGAAAGAACAAGATTGCAGAAGCCATGCAAGACACAAGGAAGCCCTGGACTTAATGCCTTCCCCTAGCTCTTTTTTCTATGAGATTCACCCCCAATTCCAGACATGGCTTATCCCCTTTTGAGATTCTGTTTGGATGTGCCCCAAAGACAGGCCTCTATTTTCCCCAGACCCTCCAGATGCAGCATGGTAGTATGATTGCCTATCTACACCAAAGATTAGGCATGGTGCATAAACAAGTCTTTGATTCTATTTCAGATCCAGACTCTGATTCTGCAACTCACAAACAGCAGCCTGGTGATTGGGTGGTGATAAAGAGGCATGTGAGGAAAGGACTTGAATTACGCTTTGACGGTCCATTCCAGGTGCTCTTGACTACGGCTACCTCAGTGAAACTAGAAGGAAAAGCCACGTGGATACACGCCAGTCACTGTAAACAAGTCACTCTGACTGATCCACCGACATGAAGCAGTTTTTATCCTTTACCATTTTATGTTCTGTTCAGATATGCTCCTCTGACTTGAGACCAGAAGATAATAATGCAAGGCAGGGAAATATATGGTTGCAGATAGAAAAGGCTTTTAATTTAACCTCCTTTTGCTTCAACCCTCTCCTTAGTACTGAAAACGCCATAAAATCTTGTCTATTGATGTCCCTAATCCATCTTACTCTTGAGGAAGTACCTACATACCCGAGTAATTAATGTCATAGCCTGTTCCCTTGCAAAGGGTTTAAATGCCACTTCATAGCTACTTATGGACAACCAGGCAAATAAGAAGGCAATCCTTGAGAATAGAGCAGCCATTGACTACTTACTAATGAAACATGAATTACGCTGTGAAGCTATTGAAGGTATGTGCTGTTTTAACCTATCTGACCATGGCACTATGATCCATACACATATAAAAGATTTACATAACTTAGTACAGGATATCAAACAGGATACTGGCTTCTTTGGGGATTGGGATTGGACATTTGGGCTAGGAACATGGTTGACTTTACTAATTAAGAAGATTTTGTACTTTTTGCTATTAGCTCTATTTGTCATTATGGCCATTTTTCTAACCTTTAGATTTTTCTCATGTCTACTAACCTCTCTATGTGAAAGCAAACCTACTGTTGGTCGTACCTTAACTTACATTCCAGCTCCGACTTCGGAAGGGTTTTATGTTGTTACCTCACCCAACAAATGAAGGAACTCTCCTCCGCTGATTCTGGTGGTCTCTCGGTCCAACGGAACCACTGTGAAGCAATAAATGAAAGCCCCACAGGCTTTGGCTAGCAGGCCTGGAAATACCTTGGACATTTGGCTGACCCTTGGATCGAAAGAGGGGATTGTGATAGAATTTATCTTGATTCCAAGGCTCCAGCTTATAGGTATCATTTAATGATATCCTATATTAAAATTAGCTAACTTGGACTCAGGAAATGCTTGATGCTTAACACGACACTTAAGACCATATATGTCTAGTTCCGGGAGCAGATAGCCCCCACCTGAGATGTCTCTTCTTTAATCTTGTGTTCTTTCTATTTTCTCAGAACATATTTGTTATGTGTACATGACGTTCATCCCTGTGTCTTATCTGTACTCCCTTCCTACTACTGTCCTATGAGTATTTGCATGTAAGCACTTACTTTTTAATGTATAAAACACAGCTGATGAATAAAACGGCAGAGGCTTATTTTGAATACCAACAGGTGTCTGGTGTCTAATTCTCGCTTCTCCAAGTGCACTTGTAACAACAATTTGGGCTTCCTCTGAATATAACAAAGACCATTATATGGATCCACAACAAGCCCATCTCTTTCCTATGAGCTTCAGAATATTACATATTTTATTTATCACATTAGGTATGGATGTCTGGATCAAAATAAGTAACTGATGGTATCAATACGTCACATGGCTTTCATTGTCTGAGAAGTCGGGAATGGGAATTGAGGGTCTTGTCCTTATGGCCAGAGTTATATTCAAAAGGTCTAACATCATTATAGTCATAGCTATATAGAAAATTGAACAAAGGACCATGAGGTCTGCTGCTTGCTGCTTGTTGTCTGGCTGCCCTCTAACTATGTAGAGTCTAACTCTCCCTTCAGGAGTCCAGCAATTACCATCTGCTCTTGAACATTATTCTGTAACACCCTTCATTGTTTTATTATTTATGAGTAACTGTAAAAAGAAACCTGAAGAAAACGCAAGTCTGATACTTATTGATGTTTGTAACTGACACACAGAAGAATTATAATATAAATGTATATTAACACGTCGAGCCTCCCACCAAGAAGAAAGAAAAAGATATATAAAATACTTATTTTAATCACCTTGGAAAACGCAGACAGTGAGTTTATTGTAATAGCAAACATGAAACATATCAAGCGTCGGTAAATAAGGTATAAATGTAAAACATTACATGTATTGCCTTCAGAATCCAATTAAAAATAGTGACTTTATTTTTTACATTTTAGAATGAGTCATAATATATAAAAATAGTGAAATACAGGCCAAGACCACCTCTCATAAAATAGTGATTTTATAGAAAACATTCCGTAAGGGCAAGATAAAAAATTTAATAAAAAGTTTAAAAAAAAAAAAAAGAAAAGGGAAAAAAAAAAATTACAAGACCAACATAGGTAAAATAAGAAAAAAATAATCCTTGAGGGGTATGGGTAAAAATCCAACCCCTCAAAATGTACAAGGCCTTTAAAATTTGGGGGAAAATGTATATAATAATCTGTATAACATGCAGATCTGGGTTTAATAATAAAAGAGGGGAA